GCCCGGTGTGAGTTTTAAGCCCCGTGGTCCAGGATGCAAACCGCGGTCAACTACATGGGAGTCCAGCGACATAGCCATTACACTAACTGCTGGTCCCCCTGTCATTGGATTTCGATAGGAATTGTATTGAATCCGCAGATAATTTGGGGAAAATTTATACTTTAGCAATATTAATTCTTCCAGTCCATAAATGTGAGTTGTCTTTTCATTTGTGTCTTCACCTTCTTTCATGGTTTTATTATAGAACTCTTCCATCTCCTTGGACAAATGTATTACTAGTCACATTTGTTTGGTTTTTGTTTCTTTGGAGTTATAAATATTACAAAAGAGATTGCTCTCCTGGTATCTTTTTTAAAAATTGTTTTATTTATTATTGTTATTTAAAAAATTTAACCACAGAGGTGCCAGCAGGTGGCGTGGTGGTTAAAGGCACTGGACTCCCACATGGCCGACCATGGTTCTTGCTTTCTCACTTTCTGTCTCTCTTGCTCTCTCTCTCACTCTGTCCCTCTCCAGTCAAATTAAAATTAACTAGTTAATTAATTAATTCTTAAAAAAATTTTTTTTGATCATAGAGAGAAAGTGAGAAGGCAAGCCACCAGGTCCAGGACTTGAACCATAGTTGGTCATATGAGAGTTCAATCCCTTAACCACCACACCACCTGTTGACCCCACAATATCTTTTTTCAGGTAGTTCATTATTGGTGTACAGAAATGCTAGGTTTTTTTTTGTTTTTTTTTTTTTGGAGGGTTTTTGAGAGATTTTGCTATAGGGTGTATGTGCTTGCCAGAGAAATGTAAAAATAGAAAGTGAGGAATCACTCCCCCTCCCCCAGGGGTATGGCCACACTGCAATCCCTTCTCCTTCATTTTCCTCTTGGGATTCTGGGCACACATATCATATGTGAGCTTCAAATCGCCAGATCCAGGACTTGAGCCTCAGTAGACTATGTGGGAATGTAGCACTTTAACCACCATGCCACCTGCTGGCCCCATGCTACTGATTTTTTATGTTAATTTTGTATCCAACTGCTTTATTGAATTTGTTTATACATTGAGGAGCATGAACCGCATCTTACTTCCATGGCCAGCTAATGTCAGACGTGACTCTTGTGGAAAGGTTCTGGGTAAGAGGCCAGAGTTTCCATAAAGAAGATCATATAGGGAACCAGCAGTTAGCGTAATGGCTATGTTGCTGGACTCCCACGTAGTCGACTGCAGTTCACGTCCCGGACCCGGTGGCTTAAAACTCATGCTGGGCACATGTGCGTGTGTGCCCAAGATACCGAGAGGAGAATGGAGGAGAAGGGATTGCAGTGTGACCATCCCCCCGGGGGGCGATTTCTCGCTTTCTGTCTCTATGTCTCTCTCTGTCTGTCTGGCGAGCGCACGTGCCCTATAGCGAAAACCTCTCTCTCAAAAAAAAAAAAAAAAAAAAGAAGATCATATATGGGCTAAGCCAGGAGCAGACAAAATTATCCTGGAGCTGGTTGTCAAATGAGGGATTCAGAAAGTGACAGAAGATGTCAGTAGAAAGTTTTTCTGCTCCCCTCTCTGCTAGTTTCTGGCAGGACCCATTGACCAACAGGATATGTATATGCAGAGGTGTGCACAATAATTCTTAAAAAAAAAAAAATGAGGGATTCAGAAAGTGACAGAAGATGTCAGTAGAAAGTTTTCTGCTCCCC